CCAAGCAGCAGGCAGAAGTAGGAGGAAGGAAGACGATCCCGACAGGTCGTGGGAATGTTGAGAGATGCGAAGATCAGCCTCCTGCAAGCAGAAGTGGGGAGGGAAATAAGACATCCCCAAAAATAAGCCCCAGTGCTTATTTTGGAGCCCCCGAAAAAAGAAGATTGAGTCTTATTTTGGGGGAAACACAACAGGCTTTTATGAAGGTGGAGGTTTGAGAGTACAGGCAGTCCTTGACTTCTGACCACAATTGAGCCAACATAGACATTAAGTGACTTTTGCGACATTTTACAGCTTTTCTAGCCATAGTTAAGTGAACGATCTCAGGTGTTCAATTTGAGTGAGTCTAGTTTTCCCATCGACTTCGCTTGTCCGAAGGTTGCAATGACCCCAGGAACATTGCAAGTGTCACAAAAGATGAAGTCAGTTGCTAAGCATCTGGATTTCGATCCCAGACCAACAGGGGATGCTGAAATGATTGTTAAGTGTGGAAAAAAAATAGTCATAAGCCACTTTCCTCAGTGTCTTTGTAACCTCAAACAATCGCTAAATGAACTTGTAAGTCAAGGAGTATTTGTAGCATCCGGCTGAGTGGGAAATTAGAAGTAATTTGCAGATTTCTCTTCTGGGTGAGAGAGATAAAGCTTTGTGGTAGCTGTACAACCACCAGATGGCATTCTCGAAGCATGGAATACGTTCCGCTAAAAAGTTGACCTGCAGAATGTCTCTCTCATTTCTCTAATTACTTTCATTTGTTTTGCTGCTCCATTTCTAGCTGTAACACTGATTTAGTGATATGACTTAAGTTCCAAGCACGTTTGGGAAAGAAATAACAAGCTTTGCCTGTCCTCTGTCCTCTGAGGGTTATTAAACTGCAATGCTTCATCTAACCTGATTTTGATTCTTATCCTGAAACAGCCTCGAACATGTTCTTTCCTGCTTTAGATGTAAAATATGAGATTCTAATGCTTGGGAAGACCAGTTTAAAGGTTTTACCAATAAGCCCCCCCCCCTCCCCTTTAAATGAATAGTTTAGTTCAGTTCCTCGCTTTTCACAAATTTCATATACATGTTTAGCTCATCCCATGCCACCAAGCTTTCACCAGAAGATTTTAAAAAGCATGTTTGACAGTAATTCTATTGAGTAGCAGTTGAGTGCAAATATATTCAAAATATATATGTGACTTGTAAGTCATGGCCAAATTGAAGTTCAGTGACTTCAGTAAATGTCTAAGTATGATTAAAACTGGACCCAGCTCTTTGTAATTTAGTGTGTTGGATTGCAAGGGATATAATCAGGTGTTAAGAGCCATATTTAACTTGATAGGAAGAGAATATTTGATCTTCGGAAGGGATTTTAAAATCATACTTTGTTTTATTTTTAATTTTTTTTTATTTTCTTCAAAACATTAAAATACTCGAAAAATACAGAAAAAAAGCTAAACAAGACTACACCCAAAATGCATAAAAAACCAAAACAGACATATACATAAATTGTCCCTCCTAATTGAATACTGATAAATATATTTCAAAGGTAATAATTCATCTCCCCTTGAGAAGCAGGCACACAATTTGTAAATTTCAACAACACTATTTACCCAACTCACTTAGGCTGACATCCATCTTGTATATAAAAACATATTTAACAAGTTAAACGAGCAACTAAATTAAACTTCTAAACCCTCTGTTAACAATCTATTTATTGTATTTCACTCGCAGAAAGTCAATAATAGCGTCTGGTTTGCCCTAAGTCACAACAATCATTATCTCTGGTACATCCAGGATCAATAACCTCAACTGGTTCTTAATAATAAGACCTTTCCTTAAAAGATTAAACGGGATCTTTTCTAACAATTGGATTTTATTCCCCCAAATCATGAATTTATGTTATGTCTCCACAGCATTTGTTTTATAAAAAAAGGTAAAAGAATTTTGTTGGATCTGTTAAAGTACAGTGAATTTTTTTCTAAAATTGACATGAGATTTTGTTTAAAAAGTCCTCTTTTTAAAATAATGCCTAATTTACATTCGAGTCAGCATTTTTATCTTTATAACTTATTTTGCTATACAACACAGGTAAAGAAATGCTGATAATAAAACCTGATTATGATAGTTGTCAGCTAATGATCATTTATTTAATGATGATTCAAAATTACGATAATCTCAGAAAAAGTAAGGTATGGCCCATCCTCAAAGTTGCGACTGTCGTGCCACTATCACCCAGTCACATGATCATAATTCAGGTGCTTGGCAACTGGTTTGCCTGTGACCTTCCCAGACAGCTTCCAACTAGCAAAGTCAGTTGGGGAAGTTAGATTCACTTAACAACCACAGAGATTCACTTAATGACTGTGATGAAAATGCTCATAAAATAGGTCTGATTATATTGCGATTCACTTAATGACCACATCACTTAGCAACCAAAATGCTGGTCCCAGTTGTCATAAATCAGTGACTGCTTAATCAGTAATTGTGAAGAACAATTTGGGGATTTAATGTACCATTGATGTTTCATTGAGCTTTTAAAAATACAACATCAGCACTGGTGCTCCAGTGGCTGGCTCTGGTTCTCAACGCCCAATATAATTATTTCATGCCCTGCCTTTTCCCCATAAACTCAAACAAGCTTACAGTGCATATCTTTATTTTATCCCTACTACAATAACCCTTTGAAGTCAATTAGATTAAAAAGAGAATGGTTTCCTGAAAGTTCATCCAGGGAACTCTCAGGCCAACACTACACTACACCGGTTCACCGGCTAAACCGCGCCTGGCTAAACCGCGTCGCTGACATCATCAACAGGGCGATAACAGCGCAGAGACAGAAGCACGCTGTAAACCCTAAACCTAAAATTAACACCTAAACCTAACCCCCCTAAACCTAACCCTTACCTTAAGTTGAATCGGCTTGCTTTCAAGCGCCCTTCTTTCTCCGCGCTGGCTGTTGTCGCCCTGTTGATGACGTCAGCGATGCGGTTTAATCGGGCGCGGCTTAGTCGAGCACGGTTTTGACAGGTCACGCACTACACCAGCTGTTCTGCAATGCTGTTTTGAGAAGTAAAGCAGGTGGATTAAGAGGAAATTGTGATTCTTCCTTAAACAGGGAGCCTCTGCTGCATCTTCATTTGCTCCACAAATTGATGGAGGTCTTTTGCTTGTAGAAAGGCAGGACTGCCTCTGCAGGGTACCCTGGCTGACAGATAAGGTGGAACCCTCAGCTCTAAATCAGAAAGAATGGTTGACATGCAATCTGTCCTGTTTGTATATGAAGTATTTCAAGATAGTGCAGAATCTTGCACATGTTGGGTCACAGCAAATGTATGTATGTATGTTACTAAAACCGGTACAATTTCTTTCTACCTGACTTTTATCTTCTAGGCAAAAGAAAAACAGAATGCTAAGAAACCTCAGGAAGCCAAATGAAAATCAGCATCTTTACAGGGTGGAGTCCTGGAGAAGAAAATGTGCTTCTGAATGTCTTTATAACTTTGCAAGACTTGTACAGTTTAAATTTGTCCAGCACACATTTGCAGATTTGTCAGTTTGTCTTATCTCATTTGCACGGGGGGTCCTTCCCGTTTTCCCTGTTGCTATCATGTGCATGGCTGCCACTCAGTGATGGTTTTAGAATCTCTGTCCAATTCCAGTATATAACAGTGGTTTCTGATTGATTCTTCATACAAAATCAGGAAATGCTGCTGCAATTTGTATAGACCCAAATTGGTGCGAGTAATGTAGAAGTTTTTACTGTAATGAACATATTTAAAATACCTTGTCTCTTAACGAAACCATGGATATATAGTTACGTGAAGAGAGATTAACTTATTTCTACAAATAAGTTGGTCTATCTTCGCTTGCCATCACTACTTATCTTGGTCTTGGCATTGTTCAGTGACTTGACCTAAGTTGTTTTTATGGAGTTATGTCTACATTTTCTACACAGCTGAAGGTAAAACATAACATTGGAATGATTGATAAAGACCAATGCATAAGCATAAGAGTTTATTGCTTTAGTAGAAAAAAATAAATATTCCCATTTTTATTTTGGCAAATTATTGTTTGGTATGATCATTCTGTATACTCAGAGGTGGGTTCCTACCAGTTTGCACCTGTTCGGTGGAACCGGTTCGTCAAATCTACCGAACCGATTAGAAGAGGTTCCACCA